TAATGGTTGGAGCTGTGATCCTGCTGCAGTCATGTACATGGTTACAAATGGCTGTAAACATGCACATGCACACAGAGAATGCTGCCACCTATGAGCAACAAATATACTATCAATACATTTCAACTCATACACACCACCTGTGTGTATGTGTGTGCTTTCTCTGACTGAATTCTGTAAACTTCGACTGTCACCTCAACTCAAATTCATTTATGAAGCACATCTAAAAACGACCCACGTCGACCAAAGTGGTGCACAAAAGGAATAAAATGCTAAACACACAACTCACACATTTACAGACACAACACACACAGGTACGCATCTGGGAAACCCACACTGGGGGACTCAAACCCTGATGAATAAAAGTAGGTTTTGAGCCTGGACGCCGAATGTTGGGCCATTTTGCCGGCAAGCTGCGAGCGTTTAGACACACAGAGCCGGATTGGCGAGTTGATCCGAGGTGCCCAATTTTCCGCCTCTTAGTGTAGTCATATTGGCGGAACCCTTTTAGTTTAAACAGACCGAGGCGGTCTTCTGCTACGGGAGGGGCTGTTGAAGACTTGTGGGAGGAGCTGTTGATGACGCTGCACATGCGAGCCACTGGCGGTGGATAAACAGGAAACAGCTGATAGCAGGAATTAGCGAGCAGCTAGTAGCAAGAGGGAAACACAAACCTGACAGACACTGTAAAGATGAGCAACTGGGGAGACAAGGAATTGTGCGCCCTCCTTGTCCTCGCAAACGAAGAGGCCATTAACTGTCAGATGACGGGGACGGTGAAGAACGGGCCGACTTACGAGAGAATCGCCGAAGGACTGACCAGCCACGGCTTCCCTCCCATGTCACTGTTTACGTCACACGCTGAGCAACATTTTTTGTCACTTGCTCACGCCCCCCATTGCCCCGAAAAAGGCACATTCTTTATTATCAAAAGTAGGTAGGTGGTATTTTGCTGCACTTCCTGATTTTGTTTTTATACTGCCAATGCTGAAAAAAGACTGATTGGGCTTTCCTGCAAATTTGCACAATTCCTATCTAAAAAGGGCATCTGATTTACCTCAGAGGGAGTCCATGAGTCCAGCTGAGGGTCAAGCACCACATCGCAGCAGAAAGCTCCTGAAATGACTACATGGAAACAAATCAGCATCACACGACCTCTCATCAGAGCCCAACATGTCTGTTTCAAACACTAAGAAAATGAGCTGCCAGGAATTATGTTTAATCAGCCTCAGTAATATCACTCAAACATAACAGATGCATCTGAAGAGGAAAAGACGGACACTGCATCTAACTCTTGCAGAGATTCCTAATTTTACAGGTCAGTGATGAGTGAAGAGAAACGTCTTTACCTGGCACTTCTGGTGTGCTCAGCAGCTCCACAGTAAAGTCGTCTTTGAACGCGGTCTCCAGCACCTGGCCGAGCAAGGCAGCACAGGAACGCCAGTAGGCCTGAGGGGAGACAAGAGGTGAAGGTCCCAAACCCTTTTCATATCACTTGATCAGTTGATGTACACTCAGACAAGAAGAAAAGTCCGACTTGACTGATGAGCCGAGCTATGAGCTCAGCTTGACTACTGTGTGCATGTAAACGTGCTGACTTTTTATCGGACAGCCAGGAAATCTTGTCAACACGACTATATGAATTAAACATAGGGAGAAACTGTACTCGTTGTTTTGTCTTCTTGAACATTTATGAAAGTCCTGAACCTTCCTCGATTTCTCACTTCTCTAAATAAGAAAATACAGGAGATTCTAAACATCCAAAACAATCTGAAATCCTGTTAAATAAAAGATTGTCTTGTTGTAAGAGTACCTGGTTGACCAGTGTTGGATCGCTGTCTTTAAATGTGAGCAGGGTGAGTGAGCAGGAGTGGGTGAGGGGCTGGTGGAGAGACCAGGGCTCCCCGTCCACCAGGGCCAGAGCCGAGTTGGTCACGTGATGCTCCGTCAGATCTGAGGGAAACACAGGGAGTTTGTCTGAGTCCAAAACTAGCATTTGTTCATAACAAAACATTTCGCAATACATTATTAATACGTGCAAATGAAGCTAAGAGGTCTAGTGTCTTACAGATTGTGGACTGTGCTGCATACAGTCATGTGAATCACACACTTCTTTGTACTTACGTTTAGCACAGCTCAGTGGAGTGGACATTCCTTTGTTCATGATGAGCAGGGTACCGTCCAGCCCCGGGCCCTGCATGGACACCTCTATCTTCTCAATGCGGGGGTAGAGAGATCTCTGCCTCGCCTGCTCTCTGGAAAAGAGGGCACTGCGCTGGCTGCGGACCTCAGCAGCCGGCGGCCGCGCAGCCGCTGCAGAGGATGCAAAGCCTGTGGAGGGGGAGAGGATTGATAAAAGAATCAAGAGAGTAGCAGAGGATTCTCTCATCACTTGGAGATTCCTACATACAGCAGCGTACTGTTTATGTCATTGGTGTCGTAGTGATGTCACCAGGGTTGTCTGGACAGAGACAGAAAGCCTGTGTGTCAAAATGGGGGTGTGGAGTTTAACAGAAGTGAGCACTTGGCTTACATGTTGCTGTCCACGCAGAGCGACATAGATTGGTTAGAAATGTTATTAATTAGCATTAAAGTCAGGTAAAGCAAGATTTTAGTAGTTATCGAGGTTGTAGTGGTGCAGCAACAAGTGTAGGACAAAATGCTCTAAGCAATAAAATACAACACATCTTTTTGGAGCGTCCATGTTGTTTCCACGTGACCACATAAAGCTCATGAACGCACCAAAACTGAAAGGATGACTTCAATCTTAACCATCTTAAGAGCACTTGAATGCAGCAATACAAACAGCTGCATAGCTGCTGATGTAACACTCCTGGAGTTGACCCATATTGGATAAAAGTCGGGATGAGTATTTAATTTAATGTAATATTGCAAGTCAACCATCCTAACAAGCTTTTTAAGCATTTAAAAGATATTTAGGGGCTGTTCTGTATTTATCAAAGAAAGATGAAGGTGGGATGTGACTTTTTTTTTAAATTTTATTTTAACTTTATCTTTAATATTCTTTCTTGAGCCTCCCTGAGTGACTGGGAAAAAATGCATGACTCTCCCTATACTATAAATTACCATATTTGTCAATAACCCTACATGTCACACATGCAGGAGCGCAGCTTTTAATGTATTTACAGGGTCTGGTCAGTGCAAATAGTTTAGTTTTGGTTGTATTATAAATGAGGCACATGAAATGAAGTGAGTTTGATGACATATCACTATTTTATACTCAAGTTTTTACAGTTTCAGGCTGTAATTTAGACGATTTTTAAAGAAAACAGGCCTTTCAAACCCACCAACAGGTTTTGGGGTTCAGAGGGTATTTACAATAAATATAAAGCACAACCATTTAAAGTTGCAAATCCTTCCCCTGAGACAAAATAAAAACTAAAGTCCCTCCCAAGTCATTTTTAAATTATTCAAAACATGCACACCCTGTTTAGCACCCCTCATTAGTAACGAGCACTCCCTTACAGACTGGTTTCGCCATTGCAGCTTCACATACTGTCATGGATAAGGTCATGCTCGTTATCATACATGCAGCCAAGTTAAAGCTTTTAAATAATTTTATTGCAGTATTAAACAATAAGTTTACACTGCTTTGAGTATGTACATTAGCAGCTTGCTAACTGAAATTCTATATGTTATTTTGGGAATAAAAAAACAAGTAGATACACCATAAAACATCTTATCACTTGTAATAAACTTCTACACCGCCTGTGTTGTGTCAAAGCTGAAAATAACCGTTTTAACAGCGGCCATTTTGTCATTTCAGCAGAAAAGCACAGGTGTACACTATTAGCTTAGATTAATAACGGCTACGCCACTTTTAATTGTGTGCTGGCTAACTGGAAAAGCTAACTGTGACACCTACTGAAACAGAACTATCGTTAATGTATTATTAACACATTTATTAAAGTTAGTTATTGTCCTATACTACGTAAATGTCGACGTTTATTTAGAGTAAAGCACAATGAAGCTACAAACTGTCATTTCAACCTCGCTAGCTCACATGCTAATGCTAGCTGGCGCACGTTAGCTAACGGATACTCACGGCGCTGCAGAATTTGACACACGGTCCTGGTCGCCATTTTGTTGATTATTCCAACAGCTACATAAAATTAAAATCATAAAAAAGCTACCACAGGACGTAAACGATAAATGTGTCACTTGTGCCTCTGAGTGAAGGACGCCATGCCTGTGTAGTGTGCAACGATTATTGACGTCCGGGTAGGAACTGAAGTCAGCGGCTAAAAAGGTTCCGTGTGACCTAGAGGAGGAAGTGCTGTTCCGCTTGATGGCAGCAGGTGTCGCTGTTGGTGGTCAATTCAATTAGCTTATGTGCAGGAAACACTGCAGAAGACACTGTAGATATGATATGGAGAGAAAAGTGTTCTCTATCAACAGCCCCTCACAACATAATATATCTCTGTGTAATACTTCTCTGACATCTCTTTGGGCACTTGTACTAAAGTTTTATATTTATGGCGTCCCTCTACAATTAATTTCCGAGTTACCACAGTGTCTCTTCCCCAAGTGTTGAAAGACTGTTGCTCTCATGCTGATTGGATGCAATCCAAAGTTATGATCTTGGCTCTACAGTCTCACATGTCCCCAATTTCATCCTCTAATGGACTCTAATGGCACTCAGAATTTGACAAATGCTCGTTGGATTTCTCAGGACCAGAATCAGCAGTAAGTGTTGGCACTAATGGCGGCGGCAGCAGGGGCAGGACGCCCGGCCAGGGAACGCAGCCGCAGGACCAAAACATCATAAATCATCTCGACGCAGGCCGAGATGGAGCCAGATTACCGCTAAATAGCGAAGCTGAAAGGCTATTTTCACAATGGGTGCAAATCTAACGACCTCTGGAGGTGAGAGTAAAAGAAGAGAGAGCGTCGAAGTTTGTTGGAGCTGCTCTTACACATTAAGACACATTTAAGCGTTCTTGATCACCACATTCACACAAACAATAAACACGCTTGACACATTTGTGCATAAAGGTTTATTTTTTGTTGAAAATAAGTGTTTCTCACATTGAACCACTAACATATCTGATGTGATTTAAGATAAATGAACTATACACTGACACTGATGTTCACGTCATACAATGTAACAAGGCATTTGTATCGTCTGTAAGGTGTAAAGATAAGTGTCCATATGTTTCGATGACTGATTGATTGATACTGTCTCTTTGGGTGAGATTGATTGTACTCAATGTCAGTTTGACAGTACGACTTCATGCACACGTCATCCACAGCATGTCAACATTTGGGATCTTCGTCACGAATTTCCCCAAAGGTGCGGTTTCCTTTTTTTTTTCTTCTTTTTTTTTGAACATTCGTCCATCTATTCATTCATTCGTAGTTAGGCGGGCCTGCTGTGAAATCCCAGTATGACTCCTTCACAGTGGTGTTACTTGACATCCGTTCAGATACTTGGTGACTGGTCTCGCACTGTCAAGCGTCCCAAAAGTGCAAAAAATTAAAACACAAGCAGAAGAAAAGAGGACCGATAGAACCGCGGAGCACACTGCCATCCCTGCTTTGACCTATGGCTGGTTTCCCAAACAGCGCTTCGCACTATGATCCTCTTTGTTGATGGCTTTTAAGATGATTTTGGCACCGTGCTGCCTTTGGGAAACCCAGAACATTGTTTGCTCCTGTTGATCAGGAGGACGGTGATGAACGTGGGAGGTTGAGTGTTGTGTTCTTTCAAGGGAAAAATCCACCCTGTGTCCGAGGAGTGATGTATGTTGAAATTAAATTTTCTTCTTTTGCTTCAGTTAGGGATTTCCTACATTTCTCAGAACGCCTCTTGATCAGAGGCCTAGAAAGAGTGGATTTTTCCTTTACCCCCCTCCATCCTCAATCTATCTCACATGAATTCATTCGCATCCCAGTTTCTGACAGCCCCCCATCCATCACCCCTCCGGCAGGCTGCTACTGTACGCTACAGGCGGGGCAGCACGCCTCTCTCCGGTCCGGCAGAGGGCAGAAATCCATCTGCCTCACGATCTCGGCGAACAGCTCGTCCACCATGGTCTTGCTCTTGGCTGACGTCTCCATGAAGGGGCAGCCCCAGTCCTCGGCCAGCGCTTGGCCCTCACTGGGGGACACTTCCCTCTCCTCCTCCAGGTCCACCTTATTACCCACCAGCACCACCGGCACCTGCTGATACCTGGAAATGAGACAGAATGTAATATCAGAGGAGAGTACATCTGCAATTTGCTGCCTTCTCCCCCTGCTGGGTGTGTTTTGCTACAGACAGGAACTTCCTGATACCTAAGGGAGGGAAAGAGAGACTCAACTCAAGTGACGGCGTGTGTGTGTGTGTGTGTGTGTGTGTGTGTGTGCATTGTTGGCCCACATACTGTATTTGTTAGATGCTGAAACAATAAGGGTTTTGAACAATGCACAATGGAGCAACATTCAGTTCCAGCTTCCAAGGAGGCCTTCGTCACTCCCTGGGTGTCTGAGGCGGGTCCCATTAGAAAACTGTCATCACGGAGAAACATAACTGCCTCTTTAGAACGCTGTGATGCTCTATTTATTCCTGGGTACATTATGCGTTAGCGTGGCGTGCAAGCTGTACATTTAATGGCATTCGATTCTTGTTTAAGATCGTTAGCGTTTCACTTCAGCTCTTTGCATCATTTCCATCACGCACTAAGCATGTCTTAGCGGATCAAAAGCTTTCTTCCCCCAGCGTGCGGCTGACGATCCCAGTCCGCTTCCATCCATCAATACAAGGAAACCAGGCTGGGGAGAGTAATGGTTTAGGTTATTGAATAATTGATTAAAGCTAATGTGCTGCTCTCACATGGGGGGACATGAACATTGGCCCCGTACCTTAGAAATGACTATTTTCTACTTAATATTTATTTTTACCTCTTGTGTGTCTCTTTATTTAAAACTTTGCAGCGTATTATTGTATCGGCATTAGAGTTTTGCAGCAAAATATCACACACAGACTCTACCTGCAATATATTCAGTTTAAAGGAGCGCTTCACCCACTAAATGATCACTTGTATATCAATTACTCACCCTGAGTTACGTTGAATTCTGAAAGAGAACTTTGTTTTTCTTACATGCCTCCATCGTAAACGAAGGATTCAAATGCGGAGAATATTCTTGACGAACTGGAGTAAATGGGGTCCATGTTTAACGACAGCAAAACTATATCAAAACATCCTTTTACAAACTCTCACACAACTCGTGCAGTATAATCCAAATCTCATTTATCCAGTCGTATGCTCAGTACTTCCGAAACATGCACTTTAGCTAATACACGAGCAGACTTCAAACCATGCATGTGTAAAGAGAACTGGACACAGCCTTGTGAAAGTTGCTCAGCGGCGCACAAAGCCAAAAAAGTTTGACTTCCTGGGGGTAAAATAAATTGGATCTTCCGCATCTTGGGGCCCATAGAGCAGGCACACTAGGGACTTCTGCCATCCGTTGGGCTAACCTCCAGATTAGCCCAATGCTAACCTGAAAGGGGTGAAACAATTTAAATGTGCAGATCTTCTGGACCTTTAAAATGTTTTTTGCAATGAATGGATCAAATTACAAACTGTTGTGACACTCAAAAATTCATCAATTGATTTACAGACGTGTCCTTCACATTGTAAGTCTATGGGAAAAGTCTTTTTGGGCCATATGGCATCACGTTTGGACCCGGAAGTTGTAGCTACAAGGACACTATCAAAGTGGCTTCAAGGCCTGAGGCCAGTTGCACAAAGCACCTTAAGTTGCACCTTAAGTATGACACTTAAGTGCAAAATCAGTTGCTCGTCATGAAACGTGTCAATCGGGTTCTCCCAATCGCTAAACACGCCTCTTGTGATGCCTTAATTTTTCTCATTTATTTCCATAACCTCAGCCATGTTGTGGTTAAGATGAAGTCTGGTATGTTTTGTTTTTGTCCTTATCTTATTGTCCTTGCAATTCCTTACGTATAAGACCGAAATAAGGAGAAAACCCTGAATCCTTAAGTAAACATTTTAAGGACACCTTAAGGCGAGCAATCAAAGAAGTTTTGTGCAAGCAATTTTTTTCAAGGAAACCTGCGGGGGCTTGATTCAAATGCATGCAACTGCCTTCACGCACGACTTGTATGTGGAAGCGTTTAAAATAGTTACGTTTTAGCCAAAATGCACCTTTTTGGGGAAGTACTGAGCATACGACTGGATAAATGATGATGGGATTATACTGCACGTGTCTCGTGAGAGTTAATAAACATCTGTTTTGGTATAGTTTGCTGTTGTTTAACGCGGCCCCCATTTACTCCAATTCATCAAGAATTTTTGTCTTGTTTTTGGATTCTTCTTTCACTGCAGAGGCGCATGAGGAAAGCAACGTTTCCTTCACGAATTCAATGTAACAGGGTGAAAACCGGATATACAAATTATCATGTTGTGGAAGAAGTAATCCTTTAAAGGGTCATTTCACACACCTTGATGGTGTAGACTAAAATGCAAGACTTTGAAGGGTAATGATTTTTCAATTCTATACCAAGCCAGTGCAGATAAAGGTAAAGAAACGTATGCACATATAATTTTTGGCAAGAGTTGTCTGACATATTTGTTAGCACACTAATGTTACAGTACAAAGACAGTTACTTTGTTCAGGTACGAGATATTTCATCTCAGTTAGACGCCCTTCATGTTTCCTCTGATGAAATAACTACTGAATGTCAATTACAGAGGGTGTATATTCTCACAACAGGTAATGGCACAGACCACCTAATAGCCTCGACCATCAGTCATCCCTAAGTGCATTCAGAGCCTGGCGTATTGATCTGCTGGTGCTATTGAGAAATGAGCTCTTATCTACAAATTGGTGGCCTGCTGCCACGCCGCTCAGCTGGGAGAAGAGCTGAGGCGTGGAAAAGAGCTGGCAAACGTCTCGCTGAGAAGGGCCAGAGGGCTGGGGGGAAATGAGTGCAGGCAGCAGGGTGGAGAGAGCTACAGAGGACACTTGAGCACCTGCTGGACCTGCTGAAGTGTCCTTGAACAACACAGCGAGGCCGATCTGCGGCTGAGCTTGACCTCTGACCTCGTAGAGGAATTCACAAGAGAGGAAAGGCTTCTCGAAAACTGCAAATGGGAAATGATTGCAAATAATGTCAGCAATTTCTTCTAATTGGTTGACAAACAGGCTTTGAGACTGTCCAGCAGGGGAAAAAAATTCAAATGTCAAAGACTTCCCTGCAGCTTGACATTTTCCCTCGCAGCCGCCGCACTGTACAACACACACACATGCAAACAGCAGCTGACCTCAGCAGGACAAGCATCTCGCACGGCCCGTGTGTTTGGAGAGCCGGAGTCTAGAGGGTGTGAAGTGTGAACAAGGAGAGCACCATGCAGACAAATGCAATCTGACAGCCTTGCAGGAGAAACTCTATATATAACTACAAAGACACAGGGAGAGCCAGCTTCTCTGGGGTGGGGTTGGGTGGGGAGTTTGTGTAGAGGTTGTTTGTTGCAGCATCAAACTACCGCTCCCTCCTCGCCAGATGAGGAGAAACTGAAACTGCTCAACACAGCATGAACAAAAGTTGCCCCATGGGGATATATATAGGCTGATATCATGTATTATTGAAGAGAATGTCTCTCAGTATTTGGGGTTAAACATCAGAGTTGTGCTAGCTGGCCCTCTCAATATCTCACAACTATCTTTAGCGACAATATGATTCTTAACTACATGCTATGGTATATGACCATCTTCTTTTTTACATGCTATCACCTTTTGGATGTCAACTGCTACTTTATATTTCTGCTTTACTACATTTCAGAAGGTAATTTCCTTTTAACATCACTGTGTTTGAGGTTTTAAAAACCTATACCCATAATTAGCTTGTAAAATGTGATTTATTTATAAAGATTAAACTACTCGACTGTACATTAAATCAATAAAGCTACAACATAACATACTGTTTATTTACAGTGTTCATGCTGGAAGAAAGAATAATTTGGGTAGTTGCAGTGCTAACGTGCTAACTTATTCTAGCTAGTAACCATTAACATAACTGCTACTTTTATTTAGCTTGTATTAGCTGCTCTAAAAAAATAAAAAGTGTTACAGTAGCCATGTTTCCATCAGCCTGTTTAGATGCGCATCTATAAGTATCTCATTTGAAAATTATTATGGAAACGCCAAAATTTGAATTAAAATCCCCTGATTCGCACAAACTAAAATACGCTCGCTTTAGCCGGGTTTTGGTTGATTCGAAAAAATGTTGATTCGCAAAACGGGGGATGGAAACAGTTATGTTCGAATTAAGTCTGACTTAGCGCACCTCTCTCCATGGTGATATCCACACTCCGGGTCGGGAAGGTGGTAATGCATTTACACGCTGGTTGCCAACCGCCAGAAAACGTACAAGAAGAAGAACGCAAGACTTGTTTTGTTTCCGGTTCTGCGGAAAACTCGCTCAAGCTCGTAGTTTTCACCAAAGTCCGTACATTTAATGGAAACACACAGGATTCGTATTTCTTTTAATGCGCATTTCCCAATGATTCGAATCACTTTTGGATGGAAACATAGCTACTGATTCTGACATTGATTCTGATATATATCGACTGTACATAAAATAAATAAATAAAATTAGCTTCACCTTGACGAGCTACAACATAAAATACTGTTTATTTACAGCCTTCGTGCTGGAGGAAAGAATTTGGGTAGTTGCAGTGCTAATGTGCTAACTTATTTCTAGCCATTTAACTTGCATTAGCTGCTCTAAATGATAAAAAGTGTTAAATTGATTCTGACATTGATTCTGATATTGACTGCACATAAAATCAATAAAATTAGCTCCACTTCGACAAGCTACGACATAAAATACTGTTTATTTACAGCCTTCATGCTGGAAGAAAGAATTAATCATTTGGGTAGTCGCAGTGCTAATGTGCTAACTTATTTTAGCTAGCAACCATAAACATCACTGCCACTTTTATTTAGCTTGTATTAGCTGCTCTAAACAATAACAAGTGTTACATTGATTCTGATATATATCACGACTGTACATAAAATCAATAAAATTAGCTCCACCTCGAGAAACTACAACACAAAATACTGTTTATTTACAGCTTTCGTGCTGGATGAAAGAAATCATTTGGGTAGCTGCAGTGCTAATGTGCTAACTTATTTTAGCTAGTAACCATTAACATAACTGCT